CCCCCGCCTCGGAAGAGGCCACGTGGACATGTGTGTGGGTGTGTTCGTGTATGGGCACGTATGTGTGCACATGTTCTGGGTTGCCCTGATCTCAGGATTTGGGGGTGGGGTATACAGCTGGCGCTCAGTGCGGGGAGCCAGCAATGCTGAATGCACTGCAGAAAATTCAAGCCCAGGCGGCCTCTTGGCAGGGCTCCCTCTCACTCTCTCGCTGAAGGACATCCCCCCCGAATGCCAATCCTGCCCAGTTGAGAAGCACTTTTCTTGAACAAAGGGACATCGGTTATGAAGCCGTGTGGTGGTTTGCCCTGGTAAGGATGGCCTGGATGGTGGTGGCAGTGGGAACGCAGAGGAAGGAGTGAGTCAGGGCGGAGTTAAAGAAAGAACAACGGGGGTTGGTAATAAATTGAATCTGGGGAGAAGGAGAAGGTAAGCGCTGGAGGCTGGCAGAGGTGGAAGGACCCTATCATACATGGGGGAGGGGAGAAGAGCTATGCAAGAGAGGATGTTGAACATAGACAAAGACGTGTTGGATTTGAGAAGATGACACGTCTAAGCAGAAAGGAAGAGGGGGTCCAGGTGAGGGATCCAGGTTGCAGACACGGATTGGATAGTCCCAGCACAGGGTGGTACTTGGAACTTATAAAACTGATGAGTTCTCTAACGGGATATTTGCTGGTGATAAGACTGAGCATAGAACGGGGGGAGCCTGCAACTAAGAGGGTCTGTGGTGGGAAAAAGGGACCGCAGAAAAGACCACCTGGGGAAGGAACCCCGGGATATGGACAACAACAGGCTCTTAACAGAACACTGGCTGTGTCCACTTAGCATCGCGTTTTATGTACAGTAAACCACTCAATCTTCAAGTCAATAGAGCAACGTGGGCACTATTATTATCCCCATATTAAAGATAAGGAAACTGGGGCTCAAATCCGCTAAGTCACCTGCCCGAGTAGGTAGTGATAGAGCCAGGACCCAGGCACATAGCCAGCTGTTAGACTGCATTTCTCATAGGAGAATAAGCTAGAAGAGAGAGGGCAGGAGATGACCAGCGGGCCTAAAAATTCCCTGCGAGATCAGAGGTAGTGTGCCTTAAGGAAAGGCCACTCAATCTGCAGACTTTGGGAGTACAAGAGGGATTGATAAGGCTGGTGGGGAACCAGGGACCTGGCGCTCGACTGAACGTTGGGAACACAGAGCAAAGCTGTATGGCCCTGTCTCGTTCTGCTTGTTCATTTTTGCAAAACCCTCTGCCTCTTTCTTTGTTCCTCACATGGAAGAATAAATTGCACCTTTAGTGGCCTCCTCAGCAGCCACGGGCACCTCTGCCCAGAATGTAGGGTTCAGTCCCTTGTCGGAATTTTTCTTGTTCACTTAAGTGACACCTACTGAGGTCTCAGAGGTGATGGGTGAGAAGCAACTTTTAAACCCAGGTTTCTCTGCCACCCAAGTCCCTGTGTCTAACCCCTGGATGGGTGGATATGGTCTAAGAGAGGATTCAGTGCTGGCACTGAAGGTTCAGAAGGGACCGGGTAGGGGTGTCGGCTGGAGAACCAAAAGGATTCCATCACTGAAGAAACATGGAGATGCTTTTGATGACGGCAAATGGATACCAGATTCAAACCATGTGGAAATTAATTGTAAGAGACAAAACAATAAAATAAGGATTATAGGCCATTCTAGTGCGAGTTAAGGAAAATATGGGTACCAACCCAACCTCCTCCAGCTTTGGCTCGCAAAGAATTCTTACTCCACCGAATCAGCATGCGTGTGAGCTGCTTGGAGAATAAATTCGGCATAATTCAGAATAAATAGACATTCGGCACAGGCTTCCTTTAGGGAGCAGTCAAACATGTGTCTTGTTAATATTTTCTTGTTTAACTGTAGCAGAGGTCTAAGGAGGAGAAATGACAAAGAGGAAGGCTCGGATGGTCTCCCTAAAGTGAGCCATATATCCTGTACAAACATGCTCTAGTCAGGCCCAGGTTCTTGGAAGCTCATGGAAATGGAGATAGGAAGAGAAGATATAGGGAACACATCTCATCAGGATGTGTTTATTTTAATACTGGTGGGGATATGTCTTCACTTAGCTTTACTGACCATCCAAAAACTACTGTCCTCATTGAAATTTGGTCCCGGATTGTCTAGTCACTACTAAGAAAGGCTGGTGTTAGGGGTGCCTGTGTGGCTCAGTTGGTTAAGCGTCGCACTTTGGCTCGGATCATGATCTCACAGCTTATGAGTTCGAGCCCGCATTAGACTCTGTGCTGACAGCTCAGAGCCTGGAGCCTGCATCAGATTTTGTGTCTTCCCTCTCTCTCTGCCCCTCCCCTGCTTGCTCTCTCTCTCTCTCTCAAAAATAAACATTAAAAAAATTTTTTTTTTTAAAGGAAAGGCTTGTGTTAGCAATTTTATATGGTTCTACCTAACACACTGTGTAACTTCCAAGTGAGAAAAGATAAAATGGGGAAAACTCAGTCATACCAGTGGACAGCAGGAAAGGTAGTGGAGGAGAGAGGCAAGAAAAAACCATGTGTTAGAAAAGTGAGCTCAGTGATGAGGATAGATGTATGTACATAGATACGCATGTATGCATATGTATATAATTTTACAAATCTCACACACAAATTGATACATCTCTGTATGCATATGTATATGTATGGGATATATTTGTATGTAGCGAATGGTAATAAGCAATTTCAGGGTTTGTGGCTGGCCGTTAAAAAAAAAAAAAAAAAAAAAAAAAAAAGGCCTGTGTTAAAATTATGGCCTGTGTGGGTAACACCTGAAAATTAAAATGTTCCCACAGACTTGGGGAAGGACAGTTTTTTTTATGTACCCATGATAATGAGCAGCCGTTGGAAGAGGTTTCAAACCTGTTCAACGAATAGAGGACAACTCACCTCAGTAAAAGCTTAGCAAACCCACCAATCAGTGGCAGCCTCTTACCTCTGAAAGCCAATCAGGGATGGATTCACTTCAGTACCAGCCCCTCTGGGCGCCAACCAATCAACAACAGTTTCAAACAAGTAACACTGTTCCTACAGATGATATCAATCTTTTTACACTCCAGGGAATCCACTAATTCCTGAACTCCAAGCTCCTCAACCAAGTGGTGGGCAAGAGCTAGACAATGGGAGGAGCAAGAACCAACTGTTAAATATTCAGGAACATGGTGAGCCATTTTTCACTCATCAGCTTAACGTCAGGCCATGATGGGAGTATTTGCTCAATGGAAATTGGCAAGTGCTGCAAATCAGGCCTCCTCACCCCTCTCCTGGGGCTGGTTTGCCAGCACACCACTGCCAAAAATACCCAAAAATATTATAAAAGGTCAACACTCTACTGTGTTCACAGAGATTCTCCTTCGATATAGGAAGGAACAAGTCTGGCTTTGTCTTTGCATTTCATTATCCTTTGACACATACACCCATTAATACTTTTACATGGCTAATTTTAAAAGGTTAGTTTACCAAGATTCCTGTAAAACCTTAAGGTTTTAGGGCAAAGGGCAGGTAGATTGAGATGAGAGATTAGCAAAGGGAAAGGACTTGAATGGATTCATTGTCTTTGACATCAAGTCCGGGGGAGCCCTAGGGGGGAGGGTGGACCAACACAGGGGGCACTGGGGATATCACAAGAGATGATGGGGCTCAGAAACAAGTTCTGTCA